GGTTTGTTGCAAGTCGCCGGACAAATGTTTGACGAAACGGTGTGGACAAAAAATGTTTAACGAACAAAACGATGAATATAAAAAATGATCAAGTGAAAATTCGGGTAACAAAATTAAAAATGATGTAAATTTGGCTTACCATATAAATTTTTTCCCAATTTTTTTTTTTAAGTAAGAGTAATTTAGTAGTTTAATAAATGAGAATTTATTTAAATCTATATATATATATATAAATTACCATTTTTTAAAAATAGTAGGTCAAATTCTGGTCAAATCTCAATTAGCATTAATTACATTCCATACTTAGTAACTTTTTTTTTCAAAAAAATCAGCATTAAATGCTACCCTAAAATTATGGTATTTGTTATTACCTCCTATTTTTTAAATGTCATTTTGGTTTTATCAACTATTAACTAAATAAATATCGTTTTGGGTCTTTTGTACATATTTTCCCATTATTACCCTCATTGAGTCAATAAATACACTACGTCTTTTCATATTCACTCTTCATTTTTGCTTAAAACATTCATCTCTATCTTCATTAAATAGGGTTATTATTGACAACAAAATTATTCTTAATTATTGTGCAACTTCTCAAAACGACATTTATTTTGAATAGGAGGGAGTACTTTTCTTTCACAAAATCATGCTACCTTAAAGAAACAATATTACATACCACAAATTTTTGGCGCACTAAAGTGTTTTGTTTGGAAACTATTATATTTTAATTATAATTAATTACGGTTGATTTAATCTTGAAATGGTACAACAATTTTATTTTTTTTAATCTGCACCCTAAATTTATATATTTTGTGGATTTAATTTAGGTAAATTTCGACTGATGCAAAATTCAATTTTCTTTCTCTATTTGTATTAGAAAATCTGATTAAAATAAAATCAAGAATTTCGAATTAGGCAAATACTATCATATATATCTTTTACTAATTGCAAAAATTGATTATTTATTATAAAAATCGGATTGCATAGTCGGTATGACAATTTTGTAAAAGTCAAAATTCTTTCATTTTTTTATTAAAAAAATTTGTTTACCATACAATCGAGAATCATGAATTAGACAAAACACTATAACATGTATCTTTACCTAATTGTAGCAGATCATGTTTATTAAAAAAAATCGAATTACATAAAAATCGGGCCAAATTTCAAATTAAAATTGAAAAATCTTTTATCATTTGATTACTACTTTCTTTAATTTGGACTTTTTTTAAACATAAAACAATGTCATATAATATTAATTTCAAATTCAAAATGAAATCGGATTGTAACATCCTAAAAAATTGGGTTTTATTTAATTATCTAGAATACAAATTTGAATCTTATACATATTAAAAGCCAACCTATTTACCAAAAACAGTAGCAATAAAAGTCAACACACATTTAATGCATACTTTATTTAGATTTTTTTTAGAATAATGCTACTTAGCCAACCTCCATTACAACTTGGTTGTAGGCATTAAAAAAATATAAAAAATACTTTTTTAATGCCTCCATTACACTTGGTTGTAAACCAAGTTGTAATGGAGGTTGGCTATGTAGCATAACCCTTTTTTTTTATTATATGAATTAAATGCTTGCATATTTACATTTACTATCCAAATATGATCTTCAAGATTTTTTCCTTAAATAATTTATGCAATGATTTTACTGATATCCATTATAATTAATATTTGTCGAGTAATATTTTTTTAAAAAGAATTTTTATGGAAAAACTGAATTCTAAAAAACATGTGTGTGTATTTTGTAAATATTTATACTCAAAATTTTATTTTGAATTTCATTAAATAAAGAAGACTACTTCTATAACCTTTATAAATCTACCTTAATAACTTATAAGAAAACATTAGACTCTTTTAAAATGCGACACGTGGCATGGTTGTTTTCGCTCTTTTGGTTTCTTCGTTTCTCCACTCTTTCTTTGTTCTCGAATTTAATATTAAAGAAAACACTTGGGGGTATGTTGGTCATTTTCTTCCTTTTCTTGCTGATATTTTGGTGCCAGGTTCATTTTTCTTTTGGTTTTTCTTGCGCTTGTTTCTTTTTCGTCGGTCTTCCCCTATTTTGGTGCCAGGTTTGTACTTTGCTTCCTTTTGCTTCTCTCTTTTCTTTTTTCCACGATTCATTTTGGTTTTATTATTTGGTTTTAGGGTCAAATTTTCTCGATCGATCCGCTCTTTTTTTTGTGTTCCAGAGGAAGGCGCTAGAAGACTCCATTTTGCTACTCACACCACCGTTGTCGTAGGCCTGGGCCCGAGATGCGGCGGCGCATCTACGCAGCGTGATACACGACGGTCATGTTCTTAATTTTCTGGTGATGCTGGACTTTCTTCTTAATTTTCTCTTGTCAATGGTAGTTGCTAGCTTCTCGAAGTGTTGGATTAGGGTTTGGTCTGTTCAAACTCTCAATTTTGTTTCTCTTTTGACAGCTGTTCACAATGGATTTTAGATACTCTGTTTCATTTGTTTTCTTTACATTTTTATTTTAATTAATGATTTTAATTGGCTATATGAGTGTTGTAACCTAATTGTTTTAGTTTTTGCATCGGATGTAACTTCTGATTGTTTGACTTATTTTGTGTGGACTTCTTTTTCCCCTAAAATTATTTATTTATTTTTTTATTATTATGGGTTGGGTCTTCTTATATAATTTTTTTTGCTGATTATGAATATAAGTTGTAATGGTTATGTTTTTCTTCTTAAGTTGCCTCTCAGATTGTATTGGAGCCAAATGTCCACGGTTCTTATCATGTATATAAAGCAGGTAACTGGTTATGTTTTTTTCATAAGTACTTGTTGTTTTGTATTTACTTAAACCTCTCATCTATTGCATGTGATCTCAAATTGTTGTAGAAGGCTTTAAGAGTTACAGGGAACAATTAGCAGGCGAAAAATTCAGTCTGAAAGTTAACTGTGTTAGTATAATATTGTTTTTCCTTCTAAGCCATCTGTTTTTATCTCCCACTTAATGTTCGATGTTTGTAATTCAAAATTAAAGCTGTTGAATTTGTGTGAAGCACTTTATATTTGATTGTATATGCAGTTGCGCTAATGGTCTGGAAAATATAACTTTTTCCACGGTATGCTGACTTTCAAATTTAGACTCTATTTTTATGTTGTTTTGCTAGACTAAATAGTTCTAATTTCTATGTAATACATGCAGAATAAGGGTCATAAATTCGTCGATATGTCTCTCAAGATAAGTCATCGAATGAGATTTATGGACACAAAATCCACTCTCAGAAAGGTATGTCAGAAAGACTTGAGATCTAATCCTTCTTGTGGTGATATGTGTGCGGTAGCTGCACTTTTTTAGAAGTGTTGGTGTGATCCTTAATGATCAT